ACTATTCCAAAATCTGAGCTCTTTATCACTATGGCATGCTGTCTTTCCCTCTCCACTCTTACTTATTTAGAAAAGTCTTGGATTAAGAGTAGAATTCAGTAGTAAGTGGGGCATGATATTTTAAAAACTTTGAGTTTGTATTAGTTTCCTAGAGCTGCTGTAACAAAGTACTACAAACTGAATGACTTAAAACAAAACAAAACAAAACAAAACAAAACAAATTTATTCTATCCCTGTTTTGGAGGCTAGAAGTCCAAATCAAGGCATCAGAAAGGACCACACTCCCTCTGAGACTCTGGGTAGAATCCTTCCTTGCCTCTTTCCAGATTCTGCTGGTGACCAGCAATCCTTGTTGTTTCTTTGCTTGCAACTGCATTGCTCTTATCTCTGCCTTTGTTGTCACACGGTGTTCTCCATATGTGCCTCTATCTCTGTGTTATTTTTGCTCTTCTTTTAAGGACACTAGTCATTTTGTATTAAGGGCCCACTCTACACTAGTACGACCACATATTAATTTAATTTATTACATCTGCAATAGCCTTATTTCCAAATAAGGTCACATTCTGAGGTTCCTGGAAGGACATGAATNTCCATAGGGTTCTCTAGTTCATTTTAATATAATTGCTTGTTTAAGTGCCAGTCTCCCACTGTAGACTATAAATTCAGTGAAGACGGGGACCATTCTCAGTGCATATCATGTGGTAAGCATTTAGAATATATTAGTTCACTTGTTTTACTGTGATATTGTGTATATTAATTATCACAAAGCCTTTGGAGCAATGTAGTATTAATGACATAAAATGGGGAAAAGCAACCTTTCACTTGTTTATCCAGTGTTTTATATCAATTTGCTTATGCCTTCACCTGCTTTTGAGGTTTTTTTGCTTGTTTGTTTTATGTTAGTGACTGAGAGAGCTTGGAGCTGAAGTGAAACTTCTATAGTTTATCTAGTGACCTAATTTTGAATAGACAGTCACTTCACCAGTTACTCAACTGGACTGGTCAAACATATACTTCTCAAATTCCACCTTTAAGCATTGACTTGACAAAACTGACAGAGGAAATAGAATAATCAAAGGTGAATTTATTTAGTAGCCACAAAGGAAAATCCAGCTCATTTTTGTAAATGGGGAGGCCAGACCTGTTAGATAAATTGTTCTTTTCTTTTTTTTTTTTATTCTGTTGAAGGAATATTTGAAAGGCAACACTGTATTTAATTTAGAATTAAGTAGAGGTTCATGATTTGGTTTTTATATAGAATGTCATCTATCTTTTATAAGAAAAAAATTAAATTAGTGTAATTATGGTCTAATTAGAGAGAAGGCTTTCCCTAAATTCTCAGGTAAGTATATCTTGGCTCCAAAGCATGTTGAATAAGTAACATCACACTAGAATAATAAAGGTCTTTTAGGGCTGCTGTTAACCTTAAAATAAGAAGCCCTTCAGTGTGTACAGAATGTAACTGACATTTAATAACACCACTGTGCTGTGAAATGGTGACAAGTGGGGAATAACTTTAACAAACTGACTAGCAGTTTCAACTTCTTATTTCTTAAACAGATCATTTCTTTCCTCATTAACTTATGGACTAAGAAAGACCTTGAAATAGCTGTCCTAATGTTTGATTTTATTTTATAGGTAGAAAAACTCAGGTGTATGCAATTACAATCACTGTAGCATTTTAAAACCTTTGTTTTTAAGCTATACCAGGGTTCAACAAACCATGACCCATGGGCCATATCCAGCCTGCTGCCTGTTTCTGTATGACCTGTGAACTAAAAATGATTTTTACATTTTTCAAGTCAAAAGAATAATATTTCATGACTGGTAAAAATTATATATAATTCTAATTTTAGTTTTCATAAATAAGGTTTTATTGGGGCACAGTTACACTTACTCATTTATGTATTGTCTGTGGTTGCTTTTGTGCTACACTGCAGATTTGAGTAGTTACCTACCAAATGAAAAATATTTACTGTCCTGCCCTTTACAGAAATTTTTTGCCAATCCCTGAGCTGCACTAGTGTGTTTGCATGATTTAGTACCTTAAGTCAACTTTCCTAACTTAGAGCTGATTTAGGAGTCTAACAAAGAAGTCATGTTTAATAAAGTTCTTCAAGTTTTCTGGAAGGCAGAAGAAACTGAATTAGGTATTTCATGAAGCTTATACTTTTTCAGGTGGGCAGTGCTTTCACATTCATCACTGATTTCATCTTATAAGAATAATGTTTTACCAGCTATCTAGGCATCCCTTAGTCCAGTCAAGTTGTCATGTAAAATTAACCAGCACACAGGGCAGGAGAGAAGATGGCCCTTCCCAATCTTCTGCAAATCATGAAATTCTCTGACCAGGACATCTTGAAGGTCCTTAAGCTTGGAGAATTATACCATTTTTTCCATTAAATAGAAGTTACTCTCAAGTTATACAACCTTTAAACATCCTTATAGACATACAAGAAATGATCACCTGCTGCAAAGCACCTGTGGGACAACTATCAATGTCTTGAAATTTTGAAGATCAAATTCCCTGGAACTAAGCTGGAGCTGCACCCTGTGGACACAGTTGCAACATACACATTTTCTTTCCCACTCCTTCCCACTGACCCCACCACCACCATTTGATGCTACTGAATTGTTAAATTTTTCTTAGTTCATGTATTAAGCACAATGTAAATTAAAGTTCTGACAATTTGTTTAGACTCTTGCCTTAAAATACAAATTAACTCTTCCATATATCAAATTATAATAAATAGTTTTTTATGTCAACTTCTAAAGTCATTAGTTCTATATTTCAACCCATTCTTAGATTTCTTCAGATAGTAACTCCCTGCTACCCTCCCCCATTGGAAAGGGAAAATGAAGATATATAGTTTCTAATTTCCTGCATATTTGAATATTTTTATTGCTTTAGTAAGTAAATGTTAAGTGGAATGAGAATAGAATTCTGGAATCACACTCTCTCTGTCAACTTTCTCTAGCTATTATTCAATATTCTTCTGGCATCTAAAATTGCACATGGGGAAGTCTAGCACCTGCTTGACTTTAGTCCTTTGTGAGTGTCTTGTTCTGTCGTGTTTCCAAGGAAGAACATGGGTGAATATGAACCTCTGGTGAGTCACGCTGATTAGCAGAAGCTTGTAGAATCCTTAACTTAACCTTAAAATTTACTACTTTATAAGACTCTCTAGGTTATTTGTACTTTATCAGTTTTGCCTTCCACACAATGAACCCTTTTGATCCAAAAATTCACATTTTCACTTCGGTCAAGGTTTCATCTAGTATATATTTGATGATTTTTTTTTCAGTTCTATTTGTTGTATTTTTCCAAAGACAATAATTGCCTTAAAGATTTAGTCACCATTATATGCCTTCCATATCTTTTATTTTCTCACAGATCATTTTTATTACTTTATATTATTCCCTACTGCATTGTGAAAGATTTGATTTTATGGATTTGATTTTCTGCAATACTGATTGTAAACTTTTCTACTTCTATGGCCATTTTCAGTTCTGATTGTTTTTTGCTTCCCTAAGTAATTTGCTTAACTTTCTAATTAAGTTTAACATAATCACAGTAAAGTTTACAAATTTTATGTGTGGAGCTAGATGACTTTTTATAAATATATAGTCCTGTAGACCCACCACCCAAAGACAGCTAGTACTTTGATTGCTATCACTATAGATTAGTTTTGTCTATTTTTGAGCTTCATGAAAGTAGAATTATAAAATATGTTCTCTTTTGTGTTTGACTACTTTTGCTTAATATTGTATTTGTGGCATTTTTGAATGCAGCATGGTTTTTTTCATTCTCAATGATGTCTAGTATTTTTTTTTTTTTTTTTTGTCTTTTTCCGTGTCCGGCAACGGATCGCAACACTCAGTGTCGCCCCCGCACCGGACTGGGACCGGCAACGGGATCGCAACCCTCGGTGCTGCCCCTGCGCCTTGCTCAGCCTGTGAGCGGGAACCGGTCTGTATGTGGGATCCGAACCCTCGGTGGGAGCGCCTCCGCGCTTACCAAGCGGCGCACCAGCGCAGTGCGCCACCGGGCCGGCCCCTATACACTTTCAATACATAGATTTGTGCGACTTGGAAAAATAATCAGGTTTTCCTTGGAATATTCTTTTTGTTTTCTTTTTTTAAATCGTTAAGAAATGACTTATTTTTGATTTTCTGATGATTTATAGTAACCATCCTATTGGTTTCAACATTACGTTGTTAGGAGGGTACTAATCTTATTATGCTTGAGGTTTTGTTTCTCCATTCTTGGTAAGATGGAACCAAATCACCAGTGAGAGTTGGTAAACTTTTTCTAAAAGGGCCAGATAGTAAAGTATTTTAGGTTTAGCATGGCATATGGTCTCTTTCACAACTATTCAGCTCAGTTGTTATAGTGTGAAAGCAGCTATAGACAATACATAAATGAGAGCATAGCTCTGTTCCAATAAAATAATCTTTATAAAAACAGGCAGTGGGCCAGGTTTATCCCATGGTGTATAGCTTGCTACCTACATCTAGAGTATATACAGTAGTATGGAATTGCAGTTCCCAAATAAACATCCCAAATATAGGCACTTGTTCTAATTGCAAATTAATGACTTTACAGTTAAAAGAAAGGGAATAGGTTGGATTCTTCCATCAAATTTCTTTTTTTTCAGATGTAGATTGTTTTGTTGTAACTAATCATTTTGATTAAGATATATCATAAAAATTCCCGATAAAGAATTGTTTTAATTAGTATGAAAATTTAGGCAAGATACCTGAAGTTACATTTTATTTATTTATTTTTCTTCCATGCAACTTTATTAAGCTATAATTTACATACCATAATATACATCTGTTGTATAGTAGAAGTAAATTATTTTAATTCCATGATTAAATTATATTCTATGTAATAAAATTATTTTTAATAAACTTATAGAGTTGGCAGCCATCCCCACAGGTCAGGTTTAGACCATTTTCATCACTCCAAAAAATTCCCTTGAGCCTGTTTGCACTCAGTCCTGGCTTCGACCCCAAGCCCAGGCAACAACTGCTCTATCTGTCTCTATAAATTTGCCTTTTGTGGATATCTATATAAATGGAATCACACAATATAGAGATTTGCTCCTTTTGTGTGGCTTCTTTCACTTGGGATAATTATTTTTGTGGTTCATTCATTCTGTAGTATGTATCAGTATTTTGTTCTTTTTTATTGCTAAATAACATTTAATTACATGGATACATTACATCTATATCACATTTTGAAAATGATGCATATTCAGATTGTTTCCAGTTTTGGACTACTATATTAATAATGCTGCTGCGAAAATTAACATACAATTCTTTGGACATATGTTTTTATTCTCTTCTGTTGATTCCTAGAATTGGAATTACAGGGCTGTGTGGTAAGGTTATGTTTAACTTTTTAGGAAACTGCCCAAATGTTTTCCAAACTAGATGTACCACTGTATATTCCCATTGGAAATGTATAATAGTTCCAGCTTCGCCACATCACCACCTACACTTTGTGTCTTCTATTTGATTATAGTCAATCTTATGAATATATAATGGTATGTAATTGTGGTTTTTAGTGTGCATTTCCCTGACGATATATAATGGTATGTAATTGTGGTTTTTAGTGTGCATTTCTCTAACAACTAATGATGTTTGGTATTTTATTATGCACTTGTTAGCCAATCACATGACCTCTTTGGTGAAATATCTATTACTCAAATCTTTTGTCCATATTTAATTAGGATTTTTGTCTTCTTTTTGTTGAGTTGTAAGACTTTTTATATTCTCAATACCAATCTATTATCAAGTATACAATTTGCAATTATTTTCTCCCAGTTTGTGCCTTGCTTTTTCACTTCCTTAATGATGCACTCTGAAGCGCAAACGTTTTTCATTTTAATGAAGCACAATTTATTGATTTTTTTCTTTTGTTAGTAATGCTTTTGGTGTCATTTCTAAAAACTCTTCTTATCTCCAGTTCACAAAGATTTCTTCTGTGTTTTTTCTTTAGACGTTTCATCAGTTATATTTTTAATGCATAATAACAAAAACCACAACAAGAATGTTCAAAAATACTTTTGCTTTTTTTTTTTAATCATTATGAGATACTTTCTAGGGCTTGCCCAGTTAGCTTGCTTGGGACAGTGTGGTGCTGATAAGACCAAGGTCAATGGTCCAGTTCCCTATACTGGCCAGCCACCAAACAAACAAACAAACAAACAAAACAAAAAAACCTTCTTAAAACTTTGTTGAGAGAGTCCACATAAGGGGAATTATTTTGATATTTTGTGTTGGGTTCATATGTATGTGTGTATATATATATATGTTTATATATATACTTATATGTAAAAGAATTCTTAATTAAGAATTAATATAAGAATTAAGAATTCCTATAAATATATATAAGAACCCAACACAAAATCTCTCATTGTCTCTTTAAAATCTATTAGTTTTTAAAAATGAGCTTGTATTGATGTCTTAGTATTTTTTAATATAGTGAAATTATCCTCTATTACCTATACACATTTTCTTTCCTTTTAAATTGCTGCTGGATAAAATGATAACATTTAATAGAAATGTAACTCCAATCTCAGTAGAAGTGGTTAAGAAGATATCATGATCACTGACAAAATTCTTAGCCCAAGAAGTGTGGTTTTTTTAATGATACTGAGCAGCCTTTTTAAAGGAAAAAATTACTATTAACTTTAAATTCAATGACAGCTCTTAATGTTTGTCAAATAGAGATAGTAATCAAACTATAATTTCTGACAGCTGTGCTTTCTTTTTTCCTCAATCTTAGCTTTTTTGTGGTTGAAGATCACATTTTACACACAACCCAGGGCTTAGTAAATAGAGCCTACATTGATGAACTATGGGAAATGGCACTTTCAAAAACCATCGCAGCGCTCCGTACCCACTCGGTATGTAAGAAGCCCAAAAGAAGTTCCTACTTAAAGCTGATTATCTATATACTATTCAGTGCTTTACTGCTTTAAAATCAACGTATGTGTATATCTTTGGAATCACCCATTGGAACTGTACATGTTCTTTAAAGACACATGGAAGTAGCCCCTTCAAATTGCCATATTCTCTAACATTGAACTTACTTTTGTGAATGCTCTTTGCAATGAGAAGACAACAGGTAACATCTATTGATTGCTCTGTATGTATCAGGCATTGTTCTGTGTACTTCAGATATACTGTCTCACTGCAACCCTATAAAGGTAGGTGTTATTATTATATTTACTTTATAGTCTGGGGAACTGAACTTCAGAGAGGTTAGGTAACTAGCCCAATATCACACAGTAAGAGGTGGAGCTTGTATTCAAACCCAGACAGTCTGACTCTGGAGACCGTGTTTTTAGCCACTATTCCATAGTGCCATCTATAATGTCTATTAATATTATAAACATTGATTTGGAGTACACCGTTTTACTGTTACTTTTTGAAAAAAAGTTTACAGCTTATTCAATTGCCTAATTATCAGTTCCCATGATCTGTTGATGTATTTTAACATAGCTTGAATTTTTGGTGACAATCCACTTTATTTCAGGTACAGAATGCTGGCTCTGAATTATTTATTTATTCGTTCAGTATTTTTGAACACTGATTATATGTTAACAGTGAGAATACAACAATGAACAAGACAGATAAGTTCTTTGCTCTCAGATAGTTAGATTTTAATTGGGGGAGATACCCAATAAAAAAATAAACAAGAATATCAGGCAGTGATAATACAATGTAGACAATTTAAATAGAGTGATAGATTAGGGCAATAAGGTGTTAATCAGAAGTGGCATTCTGAGATCAGCATTATCAAGAAGTCACCACTTATGCAAATATCAATTAAATGATCATTTTAAAGCATAAAGACAGTAGTGCAAGGGCTTTTATGTCTGAAGTGTTTGAAGAATAATAGTGAGGAGTCAGTAACAGAAGATAATTTAGTGCTTAAAAATTTTCATTAAATGGCTCTACTGTCCATCTAGGTGTGCTGGCTAAAAACTTATAAGTCATTCATGACCTTTCAGCTCTCTTAATTCATCAGCAAATGTTCCAGACAGAGTAAACACCATGAGCAAAATCTACGAGAGGACTTCAAAAAGTTCATGAA